TGAGAAGAATTTGTTCAACCTTAGCTCAATTCATCGCATATGGAGTTGAATTAACAACACCTCACTCGAGGGATCAACATTTCCAGAAGAAGTTCATAATGAGAAGAACTTGTTCAACCTTAGCCTGATTCATCGCTTATGGAGTTGAATCAGCAATACCTCAATCGAGGGATCAACATTTCCAGAAGAGTTCATAATGAGAAGAACTCATCCAATGAGGAAGGAGAAGTTCATAATGAGAAGAACTTGTTCAACCTTAGCTCAAATCATTGCATATGGAGTTGAGTCAGCAACACCTCACTCGAGGGATCAATATTTCCAGAAGAAGTTCATAATGAGAAGAACTTGTTCAACCTTAGCCCGATTCGTCGCTTATGGAGTTGAATCAGTAACACCTCAATCGAGGGATTAACATTTTCAGAAGAGTTCATAATGAGAAGAACTCATCCGACAAAGGGAGAAGAAGTTCATAATGAGAAGAATTTGTTCAACCTTAGCTCGATTCATCGCATATGGAGTTCATAATGAGAGGAACTTATCTAATGAGGGAGAAGAAGTTCATAATGAGAAGAACTTGTTCAACCTTAACTTGTTTCCATTGTATACAGAGTTGGAACGTCATCAACATTTTGTTCGATTTCATCACAGAATAAGGTGGATCAAACATTGTCATTTTACTTAAATCCATCGCATAAGTAGTTGGATTAGCATCATCTTCGGTCAACCATTCCAAAAGACAGTGGATTGATATCCCCAGTGAAGAGTTCATAATGAGAAGAACTCGCCCGCTAAGAAAAACTTGGAGCTCAAATTTTCACTAATGAGCTTAATCGATAAAAAATTGTGTTTTTTGTCTTTGCTCCATTCCTGTTCCACAACAACGAGCAAAGAGGGGCAATTGTACGCACTAATTTTTTACCCAAAAAATATATTACATAAATTATTTTAAAATGTAAAAAAGGCCATACCTTACTGCCCAAGCACCACCCACGAGCAGACAAAGGTTCAACTCCCTATCCACCACCCATGCTCCCACGTGAAGAACACCAGCAATTAATTAATTGAGCTGCATTGGTCTTGCCAATTCCAGCACCCCGAGAAATCCCATTCCCTGCCATACCTTGCTGCCAAATACACATGTACCAACAAGCAATTATTTTTATTATCTTTACATATGTAATGGATATAAAATCCAATAAAAACCAGAATATAAGGGGATTTTCAGAGAAATAAAACAAGAAAGAAAAGCTACAAATTCTTTTCATCTATCAAACTTTTAAAGGTATTCAAATACTTGTTTCATTTATTGTTCTATGCTTTCGAAAAAATAAGTTAGAGATGTAGTTTACCTTGTAGCCGTGGGTTTCGTCGGGATAGTAGGATCGTCGGGGTAGAATTGTCGTCGGGGAGAGGGTAGATTATTTCGTGTGGAGTTGAAGTAGAAAAACCACTATGCATGGTGGTCCGATACTTGCTTCTTACCCGAGGAAGGAAACATCGTAAGGGAGATGTTTGGGTTTGTGGTATTTCCAACGTCGTGTGTGGGTCTTGGCGGGAGGAGAATGGTCACCCATATAGGGTGGTCGAGGCGTCGCTGCTGGCTCGTCGGAGGGTCGGCTGCCATGGCCACCGTGTGCGTGAAGATGAACGAATGAAGGCTAGGGATTTAGAGAAAGTTATCGTGCAAAATGGAATTTAGGGGGAAAAGAATATAGTCCTTTGGGGTTTTTGGACAAATCATGTTAAGGTCCATGTACCTTTAGTGTGTTTTTGCTATTCAGTCACCAAACTGTGGGATAATCATCCATAGGTCCTTTATCTTTAGGAATATATTTGCCTTATGATCATTAGTTTTAGGTTAAATCACTCTTTTGGTCCTTTATGTTTAAGGTGATTCGCGTTTTAGTAATTTTTTAGGATTAATCGTGCCTTAGGTCCCTTGAAGTTTAGCGTTTTTTGTGATTTGGTCACCATTTCTTTTTATTTTATATGATGTGCGAATTAGATACTTTGTTTTGTATTACATTAATTTAGTCATTTGCTGAATATTTTTTTCTTTCGAGATTGGCTATTGTTGTTTATGTTTTACCATTTTAGTCCTATATTTATGGTTTTATTACGATTATGATGCTTCTATTATGATATTTTCTTGTTTTATGCTATAATATTTGTTTTATTAATTTTATGACACCAATGTTATTTTATAATTATTTTGTCACCATGTAATGAATAGATTCATATGTATATTGTTTATTTGTATCATTGAAGTGTTTTATGTTTTAAATATTTATTTTATTTGTACTATATTACTTTATTATGTACATAAGATTGTATGTAGAGCATATTATAAATTTTTCATTTTTTCATTTTCAATATATTTTAGAATAAATATTTGGTTCTATGTTTAATATCACATTTAGAATATATGTATCTATTTATAAAGTAAAATAAAGTTAAAAATAGTATTAAAATTGTTTTTAGTCTATTTGTGTATTTATATTTTTTTTTAAATGCTTCCGTGTATCATTTTTATTTCTTTTAAAAGCCTCATTAGCATAACTCAACTGATTACATAATTAGATTATGAGCAATATTTATTTATTTTAAGATATTAAGGATGGACATTCTTAAGACAACTAGATGTCATTTTCTAATATTTTAAAAATAAATAAATATCGCACTAGAAAAATCTAAAAAATTAATTGCATTTAAAATTAATTAATTTTGAAGGGAAAAAGAAATATTCACTATTTTAAACTTATCGAGACAATTCGTCTAATTTTATTAGGGATTAAGTCTCGGTATTTTTAAATAATTGAATATCTCTTATCTTTTCTAATAATATAATTAGGATTAATGGGTTTAATTTCTTTCTTTGAAAAAAATAAAAATTATTTTAATATTTAATTCTTAGGAAAAATTATTATATTTCTTTCATTTCAGTTGGAAAGAAAAATATTCGTCCTAAAGAATTTTAGGGAGTATTTTCTCTTCAATTAGAAATATGAGAATATTTTTCATTTTTCCTTAGAATTTTTGTTCTATAATATTGTATGGTTGAATTCGAAATAATGAAATCGTAATTTAAATATATATTTGAATTCTTAGATTTCTACTATTTAGAGACAATATATAATCGATATGTACTAATTTTGGGCGTTGTGGGGGTGCTTATCCTTCCCCACACATAATGAACCCCCCGAACCTTTTTTATTGCTTAAAAATAAATTTCTGATTACACGTGGATCGATAAATCTTTTAAATGTTGTTTTCCTAAAAACTCTTTTAAAAGAAAAGTTTTAGGCATTCGACCTACCTAACTCAAAAGGTCGATGGCGACTCCGAAATATTTATTTTACATAATCGGGTTTGCACAAAATAAGTCGAGACTCGTCGTATCGCCGGAAATCGGTTACGACACCACACATGTTGCAAGTCCATTGGGATTAATTATCCTCCATCTGTTGAGTAGTTGACTATAAACTTTTGACAACTTGCAGGGTGTATTACTGCATGCTTATCTTTTTTTCACAAATTTACCGTTGAGCAGCTCTGAACAATGAACACATACAAAACTTCTGAACAAGAATCAAACATTAATAAAAAAAAATGAGATCAAGGATAACCACTTTAAGTGACAGAACTTAAAGAATAAATTTTAACTAAATTATAACCTTTGCAAACATATTGAAGGCGTTTCATGAGCAATAAGAAATACACAATAATCTCACATCAAATTTTCATGAAAATTAAACTACAAACATATAGCTTGGAAATGTTACAATCATAATTTAAACAAATATAAATAGCTTTTTTCCAGTTAAACGACATTTGTTTAGCCTTTTATAATTAGATACATAGCCCACTAACAACCATAAACAAAACATAGCGTTTTGAGTCTGATGTGGAAGGATTTAAACCATTGTCCCCAGTACAACCCTCAAGAGCGTTGGCCGCAAGATTCAAGCGCATAATCTAATACGTACAATGATCAAGAAGTTAAGTAATCGTTAAAATAAAATTTTAAAGCTCGAACACACAGAAACATAACTCATGGCATAAAGACTAAACAGAATTAAAAAAAAGTTCAAAAAAATAAGCGAATTCAATTGACCTAACAAGCTTAAGTTCACTAAACTCACAAATGAAAACCAGAAAAAGTCGTATCAAATATAAACCCTAATTCCAGTCAGCAGTCACAAACACAAAATTAAAGAGAAAGCATAAAACACGAGCACAACCGGAGATAGCTACCATGAAACATTATGGCAGTAGGGGGAAATTAAAAGATCAAATTACTGAAAATGCAACAGTACTAAATTCACCTCTCAAGACATTAAATAAGGTATGTCAATCCCAAATGAAATTAAAGAAAAGAAAAAAAAAACTTAAAATGATTCATACTCATAAAACCTAACTCAAATTATTTTATAAAAAAACAAATAATTTAAAATTAAATTAACTTAAACACTAAATAATTTAAAACTGATATGACCCTAAATAAATTAAAACAACAAATGGCCCTAAAATTTTAAAATTAAATTAACCCGACCAAGATTTCTAACCTAAAATCATACCCAATACTCATTTGAGTAGTGTGCAATTCAAAATAATATCCGTACATGTATTTACATGACAAGTAATTTTTTATTTAATAGTCTTAGAATGATTATAAAGTAATATTTATTCATAATATTTTTTAATTATTAATAATGCACACACTCACATGCACAACTATTTGAACTCAAGATCTCTAGAGAAAACAACATTCTTTTTAATTGTTGTCTACTGAAATCACTTGATGAATTCACGTGACAAATAAAATTGATTTTATATTATTGGCGATAATTTAATTCTACGTATTACAAATTAAAGAAGTTAAAAACTACACTGTTATTTACACTTTTTTATTTTATTTTATCTATCAATCATTATTTATATACTCTTTAAATTAATTGTTTTATCATAAATATCAAGTCACAATCATTTCATTTTCTGTAACAAGTATATAATTTATCCACGTTAGCTATGGATTTCGCCAAACTATTCCTTGATCGTCTAACACATCCCATGTTCAGCAATCTGTGTCAAATCATCCGACTCGCTTGCCTTCACACGGTTTTCGCTTAATGAATATCAGATGAACGCCGAAGCATTTATGGCTGCTGGCAGGTATCTTACTTCTTCTGCAGATTGTGAACAAAAGAATTCATTCATCTTTGTCATCGTCCTCGTCCTCGTCGTAATTGAACGGCAACGGTACAGACTTGAACGCTCGATACTTTCCAACATTGTTTAAATGCTCATTTTCCAACCTAATTACATGAATCATAATTCTTAAGAACAACTTGTCTGTAAAATGTCGAAAAAGTTAAGGTACTTTTAGATGAGAAAATATGTCATTTAATCGCTCTGCTATGCAATCAATTTCAGGGATTACCTGAAGAAATTCCACACGCCACGACGAATGATCTCAAGAGAAGCGACAAGTGTAGCCAAGGTTTCTCGATGCAAATCAAAATTGAAATTCAACACAGTTTGGAGCCAGGCAAATCTCAGCGCAACATTCAAACCCTGGAATTTATGTAATTTGTTAGACTAGGATTATGAATGAACTCAAACTTGGAAACAATATCTATACTCTTATATGTTGGAAATAAAACGCTCACACAAGCAACTTTTATTGAAGCTCAAAGAAATATTACAAGAACACTCTCACTCAAAAACAAGAACTACAACTCACTCTTATAAGACTTTGCTTCTTCACTCACTTAGAAGCTCTTAATTTTTCTTGATGCTTAAAACTAAAATGGGAAGGGGTATTTATACTACTCAAGAACAATCCTACACCACACAAATAAACTAATTTAAACCATTACAAATTCAACAAATATCTAACTCTCACCTAACTAAATTGATGTAAGCAATGACATCATTAATTAAATGATGTAAGCAATGACATCTTTAATTAAATGATGTAAGTAATGACATCAATTTAGTTTGGGTTTGGGTTTAGGCTCCCATAATGGATCAAGTTTATGATCTAACACCCTCCCTTAAACTTGATCTCGTGACCCCTAGTAGGTTCCTTAATCTTAAGAAGTCTTCGCTTGTCAGTGGCTTGGTAAAAATATCGGCAACTTGATCTTGTGACTTCACGTATTCAACTTCCACATCCTTTCTTGCAACACATTCCCTTATATAGTGGTAGCGAATGTCGATGTGCTTGCTTCGATCATGGAATACTGGATTCTTTGCTAAGGCAATGGCTGACTTGTTGTCGACACAAACCTTGGTAGGCTCTTCTTGTATCAAACATATATCTTTCAATAGGTTTCTAAGCCAAATTGCATGACAAACGCATGAGGTAGCAGCAACATATTCCGCTTCACAAGTGGACAATGTGACAATCGGTTGTTTCTTTGACATCCATGTGAAAGCAGTATCTCCCATGAAAAATACGAATCCAGTAGTGCTCCTTCGATTATCTATGTCTCCACCCCAATCACTATCGCTATATCCAACAAGCTTGTAATCATTAGAAACTGAATAGAACAAGCCAAAGTCAATTGTACCTTTCAGATAGCAAAGAATTCTCTTTGCAGCTTTAAAATGGGTGGTTGTTGGGGATTCCATGTAGCGACTAACCAATCCAACTGCGTGAAGAATATCAGGTCTCGTGCAAGTTAGATAGCGTAGACTTCCTACCAAACTTTTGAAGAATGTTGGATCTACACTTTCGCCTTCTTCATGTTTGGTCATCTTGATCCCGTATTCTGTCGGTGTGCTTATTGGCTTACAGTTCTCCATCTTGAACTTCTTCAGTATCTCCTTTGCATAGCTTTCATGTGAAATGAAAATTCCATCATTTTGTTGCTTAACTTCAATGCCAAGGTAGTACGCCATGAGCCACATGTCTGTCATCTCGAATTCTTTCATCATCACATCCTTGAATTCATTAAACATGCTTGGGTTGCTTCCAGTGAAGATCAAATCGTCCACGTAGAGGCACACGATCAAAATATCTTCATCTTTGATCTTGATATATAGAGCATGCTCGTAGGGACATTTGTTGAAACCATTCTCTTGGAAGTACTTGTCGATTCGGCTATTCCATGCCCTTGGTGCTTGTTTTAGCCCGTAAAGAGCCTTCTTCAATTTCAACACCTTGTCTTCGTGCCCTTTGACTTCGTAGCCTGATGGTTGTTGAATGTAGACTTCCTCTTCAAGAACTCCATTTAGGAAGGCAGACTTTACATCCATCTGTTGTATCTTCCACTTGTTTTGAGCTGCCAAAGAAATGATTAATCTAATAGTATCCAATCGAGCAACAGGAGCAAATACCTCATCATAGTCAATTCCAGGCTTTTGACTATAGCCTTTAGCAACTAGCCTCGCCTTGTGCCTTTCAATCTCTCCTTTGGCATTTTGCTTTGTTTTGTACACCCATTTGACACCTATCGCCTTATGTCCCTTGGGAAGTGAGATAAGTTCCCATGTGTCATTGTTCTCGATGGCCTTGATTTCTTCGTCCATCGCATCTCTCCACTTCTTTTCTTGTATTGCTTCTTGAAAGCTCACTGGTTCACAATCGACAAACAGACAAAATAATGTAAGATTATCTTGTCGTTCAGTTACCTCATAGAGATCTCTAAGGCTTCTTGTACGTTGTACAACTCTTTCACTTTGACTCCCACTTGACGATGATGAAGGTGATGAGTCTCCTTGAGTGGTTGATGTTGGTGAAGTGGGTGGAGTTGCAAGCTCTTGTTGAGATTCATCTAGTTGCTCCCTCATTGTCTGCTCATCTTCTTCAAACTGAGGAAAGAAATTGAAGTCATCTGTATGAGAGTTAAAATCCCATTCTCCTTCTTCGTTGAAGACCACATCTCGACTAATCACAAACTTCTTATTGTCTGGATTGTACAACTTGTAGCCCTTCGAATTAGCATCATAGCCGATGAAGATAAAACTCTCGCTTTTATCATCAAGCTTCGTTCTTCTCTCGTCTGGTACGTGAACATGGGCTATACTTCCAAAGGTTCTCAAGTGGGAAATGCCAGGCTTTCTTCCACTCCATGCCTCTTGCGGTGTCTTTCCCCATACACTTCTTGTTGGAAATCGATTTGACAAGTAGACTGCACACGATACTGCTTCCGCCCAAAATTCTTTGGGTAGTTTCTTGCTTTTGAGCATGCTTCGTGCCATGTCGAGGATTGTTCTATTCTTTCTTTCTGCCACACCATTTTGCTGGGGGGATCTAGGAACTGTCATTGGTCGACGAATTCCATTTGCTTCACAGAACTCTTGAAACTCCCTGGAAGTAAATTCTCCACCTCGATCGGATCTCATGGCTTTGATCTTTCTACCGCTTTCTCTCTCCACTGCTGCTTTGAACTTCTTGAAGACTTCAAAAACTTCTGACTTCTGTTTCAAGAAATATACCCAGGTTTTTCTTGAAAAATCATCAATGAAGAGAAGAAAATAGTTATTGTTACCGAGAGAGCTTGGCTTGATCGGTCCACACACATCGGTATGGATGAGCTCAAGTGGCTTCTTAGCTCTTGTCTCTGACTCCTTTGGAAAGCTTTTCCTGAATTGTTTCCCGACTAGACACCCTTCACAGAGCTGGTCAGGATGGTTGATGTGAGGTAGTCCTTTCACCATCTCCTTCTTAGATAATAGCTCTAAACCTCCAAAATTGAGATGCCCAAATCGAAGATGCCAAAGCCATGATGCATCTTTGTAGCAAGCTTTCAGGCACTTTGCAACATCATTTTGTATGTTGATCAAGAACATTCTATTCTTTGACATCGGCACTTTAGCAATGAAGTTATTCTTATCATCTTTTATAGAAAGATTATAATTATTTATATGAATATCATAACCTTTCTCTACCAGTTGCCCTAAACTTAAAATGTTACTTTTCATATTGGGCACATAGTAGACATTTGAAATAAATTGATGTCTCCCATCTTTCAAACGGATAAGAATGTTACCTCTCCCTTTCACTGCTATTGTGGAATCATCTCCAAACGAAACATTTCCACTTACTGACTCGTCTAGCTCCACAAACATGTCTTTCCTTCCACACATGTGATTGCTTGCACCACTGTCAAGATACCAGGAATTTGCTTGGCCACCATCAGTTTCCTTTCGTGCTAGAAGAAGAGTTTCTTTGCCATCTGTCTTTTCCTCCACGTAATTGGCCTTCTCCTCAATTTTGTTGTTGGGAGCTCTACATTATGAAGCATAATGCCCAAATTTTTGACAATTATAACATCGAATTTGAGATTTGTCATACTTTGAGTTTGGATTAATTCTTCCACGGCCTCGTGTTGAGCTTTCTCCTTTCTCATAATTATTGTTGGAATTGTTATTGTTGTAATTCCAGCCTCGTCCACGACCTCGACTTCCACCTCGTCCATGGCCTCTACCTCTGCCTTGGCCACGTTGGTTTCTATCATTGCGTTGGCTCTCATGCATATCCTTGAGTTGCAGCTTGAGGAGTTGCTCAGTAAACTCATGCTTCTTTTTATGCTTCTCTTCGTATGCTTGCAATGATCCTTGGAGCTGTTTGATCTTCATTTCTTCCAAGTCTTTAGTTTCTTCAATCGTCACGACGATGTGCTCAAATTTGGGATCCAACGAACGGAGTATCTTCTCTATTATCCTCACATCGTCTAACTTTTCACCATTTCTTTTTAATTGATTAGAAACAACTACTACTCTTGAGAAATAATCTGAAATAGACTCAGATGCTTTCATGTTTAAGGATTCGAATTCACCTCTTAATGTTTGGAGACGAACCTTCTTCACTTGCTCGGATCCTTTGTAAGAGGTTTGCAGCTTCTCCCACGCTTCCTTGCTAGAGCTTGCACTTGAAATCTTTTCAAAACCATCATCATCTAATGCTTGATAGATGAGGTAGAGAGCCTTCTTGTCTCTCTTTCTTGAATCCTTCAAAGTTGTCTTTTGATCTGGTGTAAGAGTAGCAAAAGCATCATCATCCGCAGGCTCGTTATAGCCTTTCTCTATGATATCCCACACATCTTGTAATCCAAGAAGTGCCTTCATTTTGATACTCCAATTGTCGTAGTTGTTGTTGTTGAGTGTCGGAACTTGGAATGGTGCCATACCATTTGCCATATCTCTCAATATAATGAGATTTTGTAAAATCCGATTGCACGGATGAATCCGGAACGATGAAAAAAAAACTTTGGAGGGACTTGGACAACTCGGTCAAGGGCTCCAACTCGGCTGACTCGGCTCAACTCGGTGAGTCAACTCGATTTTCTGGCAGCAGTCTTCCGGCGGTGCGTGGCGGTGCGTCAGAACTCAGATTGAGAAAATTCTGGCGGCGTCGTATTCATCTCGTCGAGACCTTCGATCTTTCCAACTCGCTCTGATGCCACTTTGTTGGAAATAAAACGCTCACACAAGCAACTTTTATTGAAGCTCAAAGAAATATTACAAGAACACTCTCACTCAAAAACAAGAACTACAACTCACTCTTATAAGACTTTGCTTCTTGACTCACTTAGAAGCTCTTAATTTTTCTTGATGCTTAAAACTAAAATGGGAAGGGATATTTATACTACTCAAGAACAATCCTACACCACACAAATAAACTAATTTAAACCATTACAAATTCAACAAATATCTAACTCTCACCTAACTAAATTGATGTAAGCAATGACATCATTAATTAAATGATGTAAGCAATGACATCTTTAATTAAATGATGTAAGTAATGACATCAATTTAGTTTGGGTTTGGGTTTAGGCTCCCATAATGGATCAAGTTTATGATCCAACATTATAAACTAACCATGGCTACAAAATATATATTTTTGTGAGGAACAAGGAGTTTGTCTCTCAACCAAGGGTTCTTGGAACGTGGGTTCAGGAGCCCCCAGTCATGAACGAAGTCCCAATACGTACAGAATATTGCTGCAATGGCCGACACAATCCCAACTATCACTCTCCATCCAATTCCCGCATTAACTTTGTAAGCTGTTCTCAAACAAACAGCTACAATGGTGAGGAAATATTTGAGTCCATTGTATCCTTGGATCGGATCTCTCTCTTCGAACAGGCGACGCAAGCACTGGAGGAGGCGAGCCATGTACGGAAGCACTGCCACGATGAAGTAGAAAGTTTGGTACACTTCACTCTTTTTGCAAGTGTGCTTCCTGTGTTTAAAATCTCCCCAGATATAATAGCAAACGTAAAACTCCAAGCTCCTAATGGCTTGTACCTGGCTAGTGAATTGATCAGCTAAGAAGAAATCTGGGAGTGTGACCTGCAGCATGACACATATGTTAAATCCACTGGTATGATCAAAGGGTTAACATTTGCTTTTTAATTTACCTTGTACAGAGGAGCGCTTATACAATGAAACAAGCATGTGAGGAGGAAGAATCGACTCGATCGATACAGAATGTTGAATGGGAAGAATAGGATGATGAATATAAACTGCAAAATATGTTTGTTGTGAAGATGAATGGGAGCAGAATGGAGTGAAATGATTGTTGAATGGTGATGTTAATTACCAGGACCAAGAGTAAAGGAAGAAGTTCGGAGAAGGTTTTGTAGTCTTTTGTTTTGGAATCCATCTGCATGTCAAGGTTGGAGAGGATAGTGGCTAATGCCAATGTTCCAAGGCCGAAGCTGAGAAGCAGAACTTGTCGATAGTCCAATTCGGTTCCCGGCTTAAAACCAAATATGAAGGCGTAATTCACTCTGTACCGTCTCCAGTAGAATATATTAATTGCATACATTACCATGTGTAGAACAATGAATCCGAACAAACTGCACGCACATTATCACAACTTGTTAAACCAATTTTATTAAACATGTTCAACGGTCACACTATAATTGTGAAAGCTTAAAAAATACACTCATTTAAAATTTAATCTCAAAACCCGAAATCGTACGAATCAAACTACCTCATATTAGAATGATGATTGTTATCCGAGATCTCATATTCAAGCACCAGGAGTGATTTAGCTTTTATTATCAAATGGTTGAGAATAAACCAAAAGTCAGCTATCTTTCTAATTGTAATTGTATAATAAAGCCTAAACAAATAGGTTATCGTTCGATTCAAGAGAAGAGAAACATTAAAGGAAAATTACTCTTTTGATCCCTAAAATTTTGATTTATAATTTTTTATCCAAAAATTAAAGTCATATGTATTTTGATCCCTAAAATTATGATTACAATCAAATTAATTATTTTAAGTATTATAAATTAATATTAGAAACTTATGGTCAAATATCTGTAATGAAAAGATTATAAAAGTTTATTAAGATAATTAATCATTTATAGGATGGTAAACTTGTTAATCACCAAAGTAATCTGATCTAAGATAATTAAATATTTAATTATGTATTTTTTTAGTTAACTATAACATTCCAAAATTATCCGAAGGTAGATAGTTGTTCAGGAAAGAAGGGATGGTTGAAAATAAAAGTATACATTATATTTCTGCATGCTTTGAATCTATACACGCAATCTCACAACAGCAACAAAAATTTTAACGTCAGTAGCTATCCATAATTTCCATATTAGTGTTGGCCCACAAACGTCAGTGTCTTTAATGTTTACAGAGTTCTGGGCAATAAGATGACACACTGGGCATCCAGGATTAATTCTACATTGCTTCATAACCACAATAATTGTTTAACAAAAATACGAGGAGAATAGTCAGATCAGAAAATCGTGAGATGTGTTAATGGCGGCTGAACTTGAAGAAGAAAAGGAGAGTACCATAATTTCCATATTAGTGTTGGCCCACAAACGTCAGTGTCTTTAATGATTACAGAGTTTTGGGCAATAAGATGACACACTGGGCATCCAGGATTAATTCTACATTGCTTCATAACCACAATAATTGTTTAACAAAATTACGAAGAGAATAGCCAGATCAGAAAATGGTGAGATGCGTTAATGGCGGCTAAACTTGAAGAAGAAAAGGAGAGTACCTATACAGAGGAAACATGGTATCCATATATTGAATCCTACCCTCGCTATTCATGATTTTACGGAGACGAATGACCAGAATAAGGCCTAAAAGAAGAGAGGCCATGCACCCACCGAAAAAACCTGATTTTTTAAAAAGAAAACACCATTAAACAGATCAAAGATTGAAGCAAGTTCCAATAGGATCTAAGCATCTTTAATAAAAAAAGGAATTACCAGTTAAAAAGGTTGTCCTATGCCTTTCTCTTTTGACTTTTGGTCTTAGGAAGTTCATGCCCTTGGTACGATTTGTATTAGAGAAATGCTTGACGAACGTGGCTTCAACCCTCTCCATCAGCTTTGTAACCTCATCTGAAGTACCAAGGTAAGAATTATCCACCATTTTCATGTATGATTTTGATGCACTTCTGGAAGTTATCTTATCATACTTCTTCATGATTTTGGAGAAAGCCAACGTATTCAAAAAGCTGTTAATTCCAGGAAACAAATTACTTACATACACCAAATGATGAAGCGATCAAGTAAAATCTAAGAGCCATTCAATTCATTAATTACCTGTAACTTTTAAGCAAGCGAAGTTTTTGGTAAAATTCAACGAAAGCCACCTTTAGTTTTTCTTCAACCTTTCTTAGATTTTCCCTGCTAAAACTCAACTCCGTCTGGTTTGGAACCTGAAGGACACCTTTAATGGTGGAACGAGGAGTATCGAGTGTATTGTTCATTTTAACCCGATCTAGTACTTCAAGTGGTGCCGGTTTGACTCCTTTCAATTTGGGTTTCGACGGTTCGGGTTCTTGAATCGGACCTGCTTCTATCTCTTTATCTCCATTGTTATCATCATCAGCTTGTCCGTGAGTGCTTTCTTCAATGGCTTCCAAGTGAGCAGCTTTTTCTGCAAATCCAAAACAAGGATTAAACATAATTTATGGATGATTAAACTTGGGACAAAGGTGAAAATTTACTGCCCGCCTCTCTACTCCCCGATGGAGTAGTCGGAACAGACAATGAAGCAGCAGAAGCTGCTATATCCGAAGCAAGACGAGTCATCTCGACTGACCGATCAAAATGAATCCCAGGGGGATTCTCAACTTTGATCCTAAAAGCAATCAAAGCATCCATTTGCTTGTTCAAAACATCCGCCTCTTTCATCACTTCCTGCACTTTAGCCTTATAAAACCTGTCCACTTTATTGAACTCATCGTCAAGCCTTCTAAAGAACACCAGCTCATACTCTCCACCCTCGTCGGACGACATAAGGAACGTCGTTTCGTAACTCTGGGTGCCGTTCCGATCGACGGAACTCACCAAAATGGGTTGACTTTCAAGGTCGGGTGAGGTGGATGAACTGGTTGGGTTGTGTTGGTGGTGTCGCTGTGTTAGGCCGCTAAAAGCTCTATAAAGTGTAAGCTTTCGTTTGAGGCCGCCGGCTGGGGTGGCCTGCAGCTTGGTCCTATGTTTGAAACGCTGGAGTTCTTTTAAGAGTGTCTTCAAGTAATCATAATCCATGTACGCTTCTTGACATTCCGGCACCATCTGTGACGCAAATTCCTTTCCGAATTTCATTTTTGGCTTTCACAACTGCGGACTGCCGATTCAGATGAAGACAGTGTAAGGGAAACAGTTTTTTTATTATATATTTGAACTTTATGTAAAGCTTCTGAAGTTTGGGTCTTTCGTATCTTGAAACAGAAGAAAACCCCACAGAAGTAGCTGAGAACTTGAAACTAAATACTACTACACAAGTTCAGTTGAGAATTGAAATATCAACTTGACGAGGGAGCTGGCTTCGTTGGTTGTAAAGCTTTAATTATTAGGGTAAACAACATGTTGACCACGTCTCGTTTTGGTCAACAAACTTTTTTGGAAAATTGGTCATTACCAGCCATTAAAAAATTAGTAGAGATAGGGAAGCTTCCTATGAGGTACTTGGGAATTCCTTTGGTGACTAAAAAGTTTGCAGAGAAGGATTGTCAATGTCTTATTGAAAAGATAAGGGTCAAGCTAAATTTATGGGTAAACATACACCTGAGCTTCGCTGGTAGACTACAATTGGTGTGTGTTGTATTATTTAACATCACAAACTACTGGTGCAGTCAGATTATGTTACCTCTAGTGGCAATCAAGAAAATTGAGCAATTGTGGTCTCGATTCTTTTGGAAAGGAGGTTACGTGTCTGCTAAAGGTGCTCGAGTTAGTTGGAGGCAGATTTGTCTCCTAAAATCTGAAGGAGGCCTGGGCGTAATTGATATAGGCGGTTGGAACAAGGCTTGCATTGCGAAGCTGATCAGAAACTTATTGGCAGAGGAGGGATCTCATTGGGTGGCTTGGATTCATTCTTATGTGATTAAAGATTCTGATTTCTGGCAGATGAGCCCCCTACTACGGGTGTATTCAGTTCGGTTCTGTTCGATTTTTTACTAAAATTTGAATTGAACTTAAATAAACGGTTTTTTAAAATTTAAACCGAAACCGAATGGTTAAAAAACCGAATTATGTGAAACCGGTTTTTTGGGTTCTGTTCGGTAATGCGGTTTTTTCAGTTCGGTTTGTTCAGTTCGTCAGTTTTTCAATGAAAAACTCACTTGAAACTATAAATTCAAAAAAAAAATTGTCTATTCGGTTCAATATGGAACAAGTGGGTTCCATATGGAAAACCCGAACCAAACCGAACCAGATCAATAGAATTGATTCTTTAAATCAACCCGAAACCGAACCTTTTAAAGGTAAACCCAAACCGAACCCAACTGTTTTACTTGGTTCGTGTCGGTTTTTCGGTTTTCTCGATTTCGTTGCTCAACCCTACCCCTACAAATGCTAGTTGGAGTTTTAAGTGTTTATTGAAAGTGAGGCCTACTATTTCTCACTTAGTTGTTGGTCTGGTCAGAGAACTTAGCACGAGACAAATATGGGAAGACATGCGCACCATGACTCCAAGGGTCTTGATACACCATCTGGTGTGGTTCCCTGGGCGTATCCCAAAGCATAGTATAATCTTATAGATGGCTATCTTAGATAGGCTTCCTACTCGAGTTAGACTCATGCGGATGGGATTAATCATTGAAAATGATAAATGCTTGCTTTGTGACATTGAGTCTGAGACAAGAAACCATATTTTCTTCGAGTGTGGGTTTGCAAAAGCTTTATGGGGGCTATACTTTCTCTATGTGGTGTCAATCGTAGAGTGAATAGATGGGACAGTGAATTGGCATGGGCTATTCATTGTTTTAAGGGTAAGTCTCTCATTGTGAGAGTGTTAAAGCTTGCTTTGGTTGGCTACACGTATAGCATTTGGAAGGAGAGGAATAGTAGGTTGTTTGGGGGAAAAGCTAGGTTGATGGGTGATATACTAGAGGATATTAGAGAAACCATCCGGATTCGATTGAACGGCTGTTCTATCAACAGAGTAGACTCGAGGAATGCTGCTCTTTGTATAAGCTGGGGTATATCATGAGTTTAGATGATCTTTATTCCCTTGCCTTATGGGTTGTGGTTGTATAGCTAGTTGTTAATTTACTGTTAATGTATTGAATTGGTTTCTTGTAACAGGTTTCTGTTTTCTTGGGTAATGAAATAGATTATCCAAAAAAAATTAGTATAGATTATAATATGTTCTAATATAATAAAAATTTAATCTCTTTAAATTTATATATTCTATGAATTTGGTCATAATTTATAAATAAGTTATTTTAATTTAATTTTTACTTTAATTATAAACAATTTAATAAATTTAACCCTGTAATAATTATTAGTAAAAATTAAAGAAAATATGAATAAATTTGCGGGAATTGAACTTGAGATATAAGATAAACAACACTTAACTGTTACATCAAGCAAAACAATAATTACATGATTGACATAATAATATTTAAGTTAAATATTGCGGTTAATATAACATTTTTAAGGAAAATATAAATTGAGTTTAGAGGGATCAAATATAGTACCTAAAGGTAAGTAATACTTAACCGGTGTATCAAATTAAGTATTTGTTATATAATTGATAAAAACAATATTTAGATTAAATTATGTTTGATAAGAGATTTTTACGAAAAATATAAATTATGGTTTGATTGGGTCAAACCTAGAGCTTGAGAATAAATCAAAACTTAATTGTTGTACAACGCTGAATAAGTGTTGCATAGTTGACAAACATTACATTTAGGTTAAACTATAGTTTTTTTTTTAAAAAGGTAGATTAAATTATAATTGATATAATATTAATCTGTCTTATTTTTTAGATCGAACTAAATTCATTTTGTATTATAAAAAATAAAAATAAAATCAAATTAGAAGAAAAATCAAAACTCAATCATTAGATATTACATTTAAAATCAATATTTTGACGTTTAATTTTTGAATATAAAATTTCGTAATTTTATTTTAATATTATTATTTTCTTCATCGCTTATTAAAATATTTTCTAATTCATCCGAACATATAATTAATTTCTACCACAATTTAATTCAAATATTATTTTTATCAACAATGTAATAACTATTAAACTTATTGTAACGATTAAGTGTTTTTTTATCTCTAGCGCTAACTTATATTTAAAGAAAATGTATCAATCATAATTTAACTTGAATATTATTTTCTTCAATCATGTAGCATCGATTAAGTATTATTTATCTCAGGTATCAAGTTTTGATCCCTCTAGACCTATTTATTTATTCTTTAATTTTTACAAATAAGATGATAATATATGTCATTGAAGATTAAATTTATTAATTTATTTTAAATTATGATCTAATTGATAGAATGTTTATGTTTTTGAAGACTAACATTATTGCTATATCAATAGACGTAATCATCTCAACTAAAATTTATCATAAAATAAATAATTCATGATTAAAATAAAATAAAAATGACAAAAAATAGTTTAGTGATTAAAGTAAAAATAATAATAATATAATAATAGGGAGTTATTGACCCTGATTATTACTAATAGAGTTTTATATCCCAACTTGAAAATCTTACTTGTTTAATTTGAATTTAAATATAGTTTAATCATAAAATATTACTAAATTAAATTTAATATTTAAATTTATTAGAATAAATAACTCAAAACTCCTTAAATCCGCTTATCAAACTCAAATGAAGAAACTAAAATAATCTGATCTGAAATTTGATTTACAAATAAAAAAATTACTTGAAAATTTTAAGATTAAAATGGTTGTAACTCAAACCTTCAAATTTTATAAGTTTATCTCACCTTCAAATTTTATAAGTACATTTCTAACATAAAATCTTGCGTCTGTCCCTGCTCATAAGTCACGAGATCAAGTAGTTATGTTTGCAAGATTCATATACATTATCAATGACTTAAAATTTTTTGAACAAATAACTTTTTTTAACAAATTCTGATTTTGATCATACTAAAAGGATAGTGGAAGGGAAGACTCTAATGAAAGAAAAGAGAATACTCCTAGTGAATTTAAAACTAATAACCTAAAAGAATACCATAAAACAAAGATGAGTAACCAAATATGCTTATTCAATTCTAAATAGATAATTACATTATAATCAACATTATTATATAATATATATTTCATTTGTTTGCTTGATAAAAAGGTTTCCATTTGGCATTATTTTCTACTGGGTTTCCCGGTAGGTAAAATGTCACAATTACATTAGTTAAGCACGTGCAGTGGGCATTTAATGGATAGGATTCAGCTGGTTGATATTAGCTCCAACCATTGTTTTGAAAACCGGATCGGACCGGCCGGTTCATCCGTGAACCATTACTTAGTTCGGTTCAATTTATACCGGTTGAACCGTTACTAGTGAACCGGCCGAAATCGTTAAACCGTTCGAACCGAACTGGCTGAAAACCGGAAAAACCCACCAATTTTGTTTTTTTAAAATTAAATCAAATGACGTCGTTTATTAAACGAGCCAAGTCGAACTCGAGTATTGCCGAGCTTGACTCGAACTTGAAAACTTTAAAAGTAAGCTCAACTCGACTCAAACTCACGAGCTAAAAATTATCAAGTTCAACTCGAACTCGAAATATAATATTGAAACTTGAACTCGAAAAGACTTGAACTAAAAAAAATTTAGAAGCTAGATTGAAGCCTAAAATTCGAGCTTGATTAAATTGAAAGAATAGTTCACTCGATGCTCACCAAAAGGCTCCATGATTTTGAATGTCAAATTACATCTATTATTTATAGAAGTTAGTTGGGATGCTCTTCTATATTTCTTAGCCATGTGAGATTGTTTTGTTTTCATATTTTTACTCTTTAGACTTTTGTGATGCTCTTCTATGTTTCTTAGCCATGTGGGATTATTTAAAAAAAAATTAAACCAAACAATATCATTTTGTTATGATTTTTTTAGCCCTAAATTTATTTTTTAATTATAGTTATATAATTATATTTATTATTTAATATGTTTTACCTTAAATATTATGTTGTAGTTAATTTGAATCATTTTGTTTCACTTGATTTTATGGTTTTTAACTTATATATGTTATGATTTGCTTTGAATATGACTTGTGATATAAAAAATTATTTTTTATTAAATATTTTTGATATTTTTATTTAACTTTTTTAAATAATTATGACGTCGTTCGGTTCTTCCGACCGGTAAAACCAATTCGACCGATTAAACCAATAATCGGTAACATGACCGGTTAGTGAACCGGTCCGGTTCTGAAAACCATACCTCCAACATTCGTTTCTTCAACCTGCGACTTGTATGCACCATTAATGCGGTCCTTTCTTTC